CAATTTTACCATTTGGGTAAAAAAATGATTTCTTATCTTCAAATTTCTAGAGTAGCAGTAACAGTTTGAAGCTTTTATTCATAGGATGCTTTTAAAAAAGCATTTCATTATCCATTAATGTTTATGGATATACAGTGTGTTAAATCCTTATACACCAAAATAGAATTCTTTCTCAAGTGAGATGAAAATGCATACAAGGTAGAAAATTCAGAGTGCAAAAATTCTAGTAATATAAACTATTTAATAGAATAAATTCTATTTTAAAACACATTTTTATCCCATCTGCAATGTAGCTAAATTACCATTTCTATGGAACCTCTAACCTTTAGATTTCATGACTTTTAGCATGCTTAAATTCTCAATATTATTATTCTTTTACCCTAGTGTCGTATGTTTAATATTCGTTTGTATTTTTCTTCTGATTCAATAATAATTTTGAAGTTTGACACATATGGCTGCATGAGGGCTTAACGCTTAGTAAAATGGCTAAGACTTTCTTTTAACATGTGTATTATTGTTATTGAGTTTGTTTTGAGCTTGCTGAGCAGAGGTGATCTGGTCTGGGATTCCCCCCAGGCCAGAGCTTATTTTGGCAGTGGTTTTCTCATACAGATAAGTCCTGTGAGTTCCTTCTTTCCACCTCTTTCCACCTAACATTAGCAATCCCAAATGTTTCTTGCATATTCCTGATTTGGTTGTCTTTTCTAATACCATAAGAAAAGTCCGTTAGGTCCATACCTGACTTTTTCCTCCTGCCTTTTCTTACAAGGGTTCTTAGCTATGTTAAATCAAATATTCTATGCCCCAAACTTAACAAAAGGCATTTTAATTATTTTCTGTTTGGAATTCTTCAATTGATCTTAATATTGTTTATACCAACTATTGCCTTTCTTCTTTAATTTATATCCTCAGTCATGACAGAAGACAAAGAGAAAATACCTTGCCACAGTTTTTCATAGGATCTAAGCAGGGGAGGCAGGGTATAGTAACTTACATTGACCAGTTAAAGAGTTTTTAAATGATTTCTAAAGCAGATCGGCTTTATCATTTAGGGCTCTCTTGACCATCCTTTACAACTAGCACCATTCCTTAAAAGGTTGCCCAAGGAAGGTTTCCTTTAGGAAGGGAAATCGACACAGGAATAAGTACCCTGGTTAAAACCATGGGTGACAGAAGCAAGAGCAGAAGACTTATCTCGTTCTCCTGGCCATATTGCCTCCATCTGTCTCCAGGGAGAACACGCAGTACACTCTAACATGGGCAGTCTTCACCTAACTGATTCAGAAGAGCTGCAGGGTCAGTGCACAGTTGCCAAAGCAGCTTACTTAGATCAAGACCCCACAAGGCACAAGCACAGAGGTGCAACAACAGTGTATTTTGGGGAGGGTGCAGAGCAGACAGATCTATAATAACAGTTGTTCACAGCAGCAACCAGGGCCACACAGATGAAGCAGGAATAGCCCGAATCTGAGCTTTGATTCAGCCACATGCTCTAACCATGATGCTGTCATTTTATCCTTCTGAGAAAAAGTGTAATCTAATGGGCTACCCTCTCACGACAGCGCCGGGATCCTCGGGCTTTGAGCCCTCCAGAGCAGAGATCTTCCAAAAAATTAGGGGAGCTACCCCGGCTGTGAAGCGACGTGAGGTCCTGGACAGAGGTCCCCTCTGTAGGCACCAGGCAGCGATGCCTGAGCCAGGCTGGGCCAGGCCTGATGTGAAAGGAGACCCGGCACCCCTGGCGCATCAGCGGGACTCCTGCACTTCGCAGAGGGTAGAGGAGAGCGCAGTCCCGGGCAGGGGTTGCTCCCCTGCGAGGGGAGAAAGCCGGCCATGGCCCAGGCGGTGCAGACTCAGGGGTGGAGAGAAGGGACCGGAAAGCAGGGTGGAACTGCGTCCCGGAGGTGTGAGGAGGTGGCCTTGAAGGTTGAGGGCTAGGCCGGGACCTGGGCGGCAGGGAAGAGTGAAGGAAAGACCGGCTCTTCAATTCGTTTCTGTCAAAGATGGCCAAATTCCACGCTGCCCTTCCCCCTCCGCGCCTTTCCTAGCCCCGCTGGGTTGCTCCCAGGGCTGCGCGAGGCGGCGGGGAGGTCCGGGAGAGTGCGCGCGTGGGGAGGAAGGGACGGGAAGAGGAGACCCTCCTGGGCCGCACCTCCCGCCCCGCCGGCCCCTCGGGAGGCTCTGGAGTTGGGGACTAGAGCTCTGCCGCTTTAAGCTGGGGAGTGGGCGTCCCCTCCGGCCGGGTGACGGTCTGGGGTGGGTCCTCGAGGGCGTGCCTATGCAAACCAGGAGGCGGTGCCGGCGGTGGGCGGGCCCGTAGTAAAATACCGGGGGCGGGGCGCCGGGAGGCGCGGCTGCCTGGTGGGCGGGGCCCTGCGGGAAGGTGGGGGCGGGAGGAGGCCGCGGCTGGTTGGTACCATCGCGCGCGTCCGGGGAGGGGGACGAGCGACTTTCCCTGGAGGGGCGGGCCCTTCCCGGTGGCGGGGCCGGACGCTGAGGCGGGGCGGGGCGGGGCGGTCCCGGTTCCCTGCGGGCGGGACGTCGGGTCGGGGGGAGGGGGCACCCTCCGCTCGCGTCCGAGGCGGGGCCGGCTGTACCTTTCGTGGCGCGGTGCGGCGGGGGAGGGCCGAAGGGAGGGAAGGGGCGGGACCGGGAGGGGGGAGCCGGAAAGGGGGAGGTGCCGGCGGACAATGGAGCCTATGTGTGCTTGCCGGAGTGGGACGGCGCCGCCGCCGCCGCTGCCGCCGCCGGGGGGAGACGCTGCGCCGCCGCTGCCGCTGGCCCCGGCCCCGGCCCCCCGGGGCTGAGAGCCGCCCCGGCCCCAAGCCTGTTCCCCTGCTCCGCACCTCCTCTCCCCTCCCCCACTCCTGCCTCCGGGGTAAGTGGCACCTGGGGGAGGGGGAGGGGAAGGACCGGAGCCGGGGGTAGTGGGGGCCGGGTCCGCGTCCGCGTGTTTTGAGCCGGTTTGGGGGCAGGGGTAGCCACAGCCACGAAGAGCGGGGTGGAGGGGGGCAGAAAAGGGGCGGGGGCCAGGGTTGTGGGTTTAGTGAGACGAGTCTGGAGGAACCTGTGGGGGGAGGTGGGGGTGTTTCACGGGCGGTGGGGAGAGATGGGGGCATCTCTTTTTTTCAGAGGTTGTGTCCCAAGCAGTGCTTGGAGAGGTTAAACCAGGAGAGTGAGCACGGTCCCAGGGTCTTGGGATGCAGGTTGGAGGGGCGAGCTGGAGAGCTAAATAAGGGAATTGGGATTGAGTTTGATGGGGTCTGTAAGACCCCTGAGATGGAGAGAGGTAAAGCCGACTTTGCAGGCCAGTGACTTGTTGAAGGGTAGAGGGAGGTGGAAGCTAGGGAGAATGTATGAGTAGTTAAGGGCCGAGGCAGGTGAGTTGGTGATGTCTAGGTCACTGAGTCATTGTGGGGGTCGTGGGACACACCAGTGATTTCCAAAGTGGAGCCCTAGTCACCGGCCTTTGAAAGTTGCAGAAACTATTAAGATGTCACTGATTTAGTGTTGGGTGAGCCTGGTGAAATGGAGATATCCTAAGTAAAACAACAGCAGGGTTGGTTATTATGTCCAGAGGGAAGGAGAGGGAGGGGCCAGAGGCCTATAATAGTATTGCTGGGGGCCTTATGGGAAGGCTACCAAGCATAAAGGAGGAGGCCAGAAATCTGTCCTCCCAAGAGGTCTGAAGGAGGGGGAAGGAAGAATGGGTTTTTAGTGATAGGAGAGACTTAGAGCCTACATTGGAGTCCAATTGGGGACTAATAAAGTTACTAGATAAGTTAGAGAAATGGACATAAGTATCTCGTAGTAGAGAGTCTGTAAGATGGGATAGAATTGATGCAAAATTTGACTTTGGTTACGGCAAACATAGGTAAATCCCTGGCAGTGATTTCAGTGGGGAAATGACTGTCAATGTAAAGAGTTACATTTTGGTCAATGATGGGTATTGGAGTATTAGTTATCACTTGATATATTCAGGAATTAAATGTTCGTTTTTGGGGCAGAGATTTGGACTCGTGCACTGAGCAAAGTGATGAATTAGAACTAACAGACAGTAAGGATAAATTGTAAAATCATTGAGAGATGGGAGGAGGGGGCAAAAGGATGTTGGAAGTAAGACATGTGGGTTTAGAACCTTTGTGGAAATTGTGCAACATGATTGTCCTGTTTTGTGTTTTTTACTGAATACTAGTGATTGGAAAGTTTTAGCAAGGAAGAGATGTTTGTGTGAATAGTGTAATGGCCCTACATAAAAATTTAAGAAAGACCTCCTTATTCACTATTGAAAAACACCCAAACTATTAAAGACAGAGATGGGTTTATAAGAGGAGCTGTTAGTTAAATGGCATAAGGATGCTTTGAGAAATGAAGATTCCATTAGTTGTTTGAGGGTTTGGATAAAAAGAGAAATTGTATTTTTTTTTAATTTTATTTATTTATTTATTTATTTTTTGAGATGGAATCTCGCTCTGTTTCCCAGGCTGGAGTTCAGTGGTTTAATCTCGACTCACTGCAACCTCTGCCTCCGAGGTTCAAGTAATTCTCCTGCCTCAGCCTCCCAAGTAGCTGGAATTACAGGCACATGCCACCATGTCCAGCTAATTTTTGTATTTTTAGTAGAGATGGGGTTTCGCCATGTTGGCCAGGGTGGTCTTGAGCTCCTGACTTCTGGTGATTCACCTACCTCAGCCTCCCAAAGTGCTGAGATTACAGGTGTGAGCCAACGCACCTGGCTAGAATTTTTTTTTTTTTTTTTGAGATGGAGTCTCCCTCTGTAGCCCAGGCTGGAGTGCAGTGGCACGATCTCGGCTCACTGCAACCTCCGCCTCCCCATCCCAGTTCAAGCAATTCTCCTGCCTCAGCCTTCGCAGTAGCTGGGATTACAGGCATGCGCCACCATGCCCAACTAATTTTTGAATTTTTAGTAGAGACGGAGTTTCACCATGTTGGCCAGGCTGGTATGGAACTCCTGACCTCAAGTGGTCCACCTGCCTCCACCTCCCAAAGTGCTGGGATTTCAGGCGTGAGCCACTGCGCATGGCCTAAAAGAGAAATTTTAATGTAAATTTGAGAAGAGTTGAGATGAGGGATGGGAGTATGAGATTTGGAAGTTTTATGACTTAGAGATTTGGAATTGAACCATTAAAATATTTTGTTAATAGCCATGTAGAATATAAGATGATAATGATTTCAAAAGAGATGGTAGATAGGGAGGTCATTGGCTAAAAGATAAAAGAACAATTTCCATAGAGTTCTCTTTGTATAAGGTAAGTGTATGTCACTTGGCTCCTCAGAAGTGTCTGCTTCTGTGAATAAAAAGAAAATGCTCTCTGGTTTGTGGGGAAAAAGAATACAGATGTTTCACAAGCATTATAATCAACTAAATGTTTGTTCATGGTGACTTGGTACAGTAATTAGAGCCTTGGTTGTAGAATCAGGAAGTTCATTCTCCCATTGACTTATGTGTGACTTTGAACAAATCCCTTATATTTCTCATATTTCTCCAGTTCTCCCATCTACAAAGTAGTAAGACCACCTGCCCTAACCACTCATAATGGCGTTTCTGCCTGACAGGTTAGTGCCTAACTGCAAAGTGCTCTGAACATCTCTTAGAATGAGGGATTATGTAGCCCAACTCTTCCAATTTCTGTAAAACTACTATCTCACTAACAGACCAAATTCAGCTTTGGTAATGTGCTTTATCAAGGAACAAAAAGGAGTATCTTGTACATCTGTCTTGTTCTGTTGTTTGGGTTTTTGTTTTATATTAGTTTTGAAAGGTAATGCCTTTCTCCCTTTAGTGGCAAGACAGTAATAGTGATGACAATTGTAGAAATGTAAGCAAAGGTCCCCATGGGAGAGTAGGAAGATAGATGCTGTGAGTGCTAACCTGGGCTACGCCAATCCCAAATGTCTGTGGCCTTGGATATGTTTCCTGGCTTCCTGGCAGCTTAATTTTCTTCAGCTATGAAATAGTGTTGGTAGAATAACTTCTCTTCCTGCCTTGGTGAAGATTACTTGCTCTAGATCAGGGTTTTTTGTTTGTTTGATTTGTTTTTTTTTTAAATTGAGACGGAGTCTTGCTCTGTCACCCAGGCTGGAGTGCAGTTGCACGATCTTAGCTCACTGCAACCTCCGCCTCCTGGGTTCAAGCAATTCCCCTGCCTCAGCCTCCTGAGTAGCTGGGATTACAGGCACACGCCACCATGCCCAGCTAATTTGTGTAATTATTATTATTATTATTTTTTTTTAGTGGAGACAGGGTTTTCGCCACGTTGGCTAGGCTGGTCTCGAACTCCTGACCTTGTGATCCACCTGCCTTGGCCTCCCAAAGTGTTGGGATTACAGGCTTGAGCCACCGTGCCCGGCCAGTTCAGGGGTTCTTAACCTTATAATGTCCCATGTATTCCTTTGGCAATCTAGTGAAACATAGGACCCCCTTCTGAGAATGTTTTTTAAATGCACAAAATAAAATACATTGAATTATAAATGAAATGGAAACAGTCATCAGAATATTAATTGTAACATATGTTTCTTTATAACACATTATTAAAAATAAAATACAGCTGCAGGTCTAATGAGACTGTAATTTTTGAAGCAGTGTATATATTATACCAAGATATCTGCAACAAAACTATGTGACATGAAAATGTCTTGTGGTTTCTGTTGGTGACAAGGTCACAGAATTGCTAATGCTATCAGGGATGGTTACTTCCATTCATCATTGAAGGCCATGCTAATTATTACTTAGAGTTTAGTCAAAATGAACATCTGAGCTTTCCCCAGGAGTTTCACAAACATCTTCCCCTCCCCCAAGTCTATCCACAGACCTCTTGAGAGTCAGTGGGATCCCAAGTTAAGAACTCTTACCCTAGACCAACTGATTTTTGAAAGTTATATTATCTCATGGCCTGTTGCATTTTAGGCTTTGCAGTGTTTTTTAGCATCTCCACCATGCTAAGAACAGGAGCACAGAGAAGACATGAAACAAAAGTCCATTTCACAACCTGTGGTGACTGTTTTTGGTTGTGGAAAATGTTAAAAACAATGATTAAAATGAGGCTTTTGTATTTGGTGGCTTTTGATTTTCTAAGCTCCCAGTCATCCATTAGCATGGTTAGGCCTCAGTGGGATGGAGATGGGCTGCAGTGACCTTATCTTGGACTTCTTGTATTTTGAGTTTTAGTGGTTTTGCCTTCCTTCTCCATTTTTGACCTAATTGTTTTCTTACTGTTTCTTCTTCCAAAGATTGCTTTGGCTGCAGAGCATTGGGGAATGGGTGGTTTTCCTTGGAATCAGTATAAATTGAAGTATGAACTTTACTTTTTCCTTATCCCTATAGGACTGAATGTGGGACCAGTTGGTGTCATTCCGCTTTGACCGAAACATTCCCATCTGATTGGGCGGTAGAGATCATTTTTGGAAAGTTCTTCCGTGTCCTGATGTAGAAGAAATAGCAAATTGGACATATTGAAAGGTAAAGAACATCCTGATAAGTCGTCACTTTTGTGATTCAGTCTGAATATGTTGGATTTTTGTTTCTGTTTCTGTAGGGCCTCTTGTAAGTTAAAACTACATTTATTCATTATTCTAAGAATTCTCAAGGCAAAAATCATCAAACTAAATGCAAGTCAAAAATATAAGAGCAATTATCTTACACCTTTCTGTGAGCAGGGACTTGTGCAGTAACTCATTTCATAGGGCCAAGGATAAAGGCAGGTGGTGAGAAGTTAAACAGGTATTTATCATGTCATCTTTAGTTTGTGTGAATGCAAGGTAAAGGTAGCGATACAAGAAGCCCCAAGCTCATTATAATACATGGATCAAACAGCATTAATTGAGTTTCTACCAGGTATCAGGTGCTGAGAGGAGGAATGACAGTGCCCTCAGGGAGTTCCATGTCTACACAGTTTTGTGTTATAATAGTATTGTGATTATAATGCCGGGGGCCATGGAGGACATACAGAGGAGAGTTGGTAATCAAGGAGAGTTTCACAGAGAAGGGGCATCTGTGCTGAAATAATATTCTGGGTAGCCATTATTCCAGATGGTGATAGTTGAAATTCATTTTTGAATGCTTGAATTTTGTCAGAAATCTTTAGCTTGATATAAAATTTTATTTGCTTAAAGTTAGCTATTAAAAGGTGACAGAGGTGTTTTGACCCCACGAGTACTAAAATGTGCATTAATATTTTGCTTGGACCAAGGTTTTCTCTACATGCCCATTGCATAGTTTACTTTTCTCCACATGTTGGGGAAAGTTTGGTTTTTCCTATTGTGTACTTTTTCTGAGAGGAAGCTTTTTAGTAGTCGGTATGCCAGAAGTTAAGAATGAGTTAGGAATGGAATCCTGAGGCCTTTTAGTTCCACATTCTAAGTTTGATACTATGCCTTTTATGGAGTAGTGGTCATAGCATAGAAATGAAATTTGTTAAACATGACATCGTTCTAATAAACTGGACTTCTTACAGCAGGAAAATGGGAACTGGAAGAGTTGAAATTGGAATCATAGAGGTGATTCTGAGCTTGGTTAGATTAATTTGTGAATTTACTTAAACAACTTGATGGCATGCCTCTCTAGGAATCCTTTTAAAGATTCCTAAATAATTTAGCCCTAAGACAGTCTGCAACTTACTTCTCCCTTGCTATTTCAAAACTGTAAATTCTGGGCAAAGAGGGAGGCTCAGTGTCGTAATTTTAGTTTATAAGGACTAATGGTGGAAATTGTTCTGCTTGGCCAGTACTTCATGTTTTATTGACTTAGCCAGCTCAATTCAGTACACACTTTGCACACAGTAGGCACTGAGTAAAAGGAAGTCATCTGGTCACGTTATTCAGCTCTTAAGTTCCCCCAAAAGTGTGTGAAAATAAATGTTCTTGCTGGATGTAGAGTTATGGTTGAGAGTAGGGAGAACTGTGAATGATCTTCACTTTGTAAGTTCAGAGACATATCTGGAATTTTGTCTCTTCTCACCTTTACAGTCAGCTTTCAGATCTCTATACTAATAAGGAATGGGAAGAAGCAAAATTATGAGGGGTTTCTTTCTACTACATTTCCAGAATTCTAAAAAGTAGAAAACTTGATTTGCACTTTATATTTCTCCAGCCTCTGAAAATAAAATGTGCTGTTGGGAAGGAGGAAAAGCCACACGAGCCTTGAACTGGCTACAGATCAGATATAACTCTTTAAAAATTGGGAGTTGATTCTATTTGTGTGGGGGATGACAGCTTCCTCTGAAACTGATATTCTGGAATAAATAAGAAACCTGTTTTTGTCTTAAAATAGTCATTGACAAATTGATGTTTTTGATTTTTTTAAAAATCTGCTTAGGACTTTTTTTTTTTTCCTCTTCTAGACGAGGGTCATCTTTGAGAAGGGAGTTCCTGGACTCCTCACCTCCAGGATGAGCACTGCAGTGTCGTGACCCTTGGGGTTTTGGTGAGTACACTGATGGCTGATAGCACTGGAGCACATGCCTGGCTTAGAAGAGCGAGCTTAGGGAAAAACTTCAGCTTTTATTTAACGATTTTTTTTCTTTACATCACCCAACCCTCACCCCGCCACCTCCACCCAGCCCCTGCCCTTGGTCACCACCACCATTTTACTGTCTGCTTCTACTGCCAACTTTTTAAGATTCCACATATAAGTGAGATCATGTGGCATTTGTCTTTCTGTGCCTGGCTCATTTCACTTAACCTACTGTCTCCAAGTTCATCTACATTGTTGCAAATGACAGGATTTCCTTCTTTTTAAAGGCCGAATAGTATTGCATTGTGCATATATACTACATTTTCTTTATCCATTCCTCTGTTGATGGATACTTAGTTCCCTGTCTTAGTTATTGTAAATAATGCTGCAGTGAACATGGGAGGGCAAGTATCACTTCCACATACTGATTTCATTTCCTTTGGAGAACACAACAAATTTTTTTTTAAGCAAATACCATCTGCTAGGCACTGTAGTAATTGCTGGGTATACAGAGATGAATAAGTCAGTTATGGTCCCTACCTTCATGGAGCTTGTGGTCTAATTGGAGAGATGAATATTACACAGATGATCACATAAATTGCGTATATAATTACAAAGCATGAAACATGTTGAAAAACCCTAGATGCTTTAAAAAGAATGTAATATAAAATTTCATGTAGATTGATGGCATTAAGGGATTCTTCTCCTCTGAAAAAGAAACACTTAAGCCAAGACTTCATTCATTCAACAAAACTATTCAAACTTAATATAGGAAAGTTGAAGTTTAGGGAGAGAGGTGTCAACAATGACTTCCGAATCTCTGGCATGAGCAGCTGGGTGGATAAAGGAGCCATTTATTAAGATACGGAAAACTGAAGGAAAAAGGTTTTAGGAGGAAGGCTATATACAGAATCGAAGAATTCATATTTGATCATGTTAAGTTTGAGACATCCAGGGAGATGTCAAGCAGGTAGATGTATATACAGACCTGCTGGACTGGACCTGTGAATTTGGGAGTTGTTGGCATGGAGAGAACTTAGAGCATGAGAAGAGAAGATGACTCAGAGTGGAGTCCAGAGGATCTCTAAAGTTTAGAGATCAGGTAAAAAAGAGGCCTGCAAAGGAAGCAGATGAAGAAGGCCTGGAGAGGTGGGAGGAAAGCTAGGAAAATGAGGTGTTATGGAAACCAGGAGAGGAGTTACAAGAACGAAGTGAGCAACTGGCAGAATCTAAGAGATGGAGTAAGATGAGATTAGAAAAGTGGCCAGTGGTGACCTTAACAAAAATAGTGGTCGCTATGATTTGGGGGTGGAAGTTGGTTTAAAATGATTAAAGGATGAAGTGAACACTGTGTCTTGTCAACTCTGTGCAGAAATTTGGCTCTGAAGGGTAATAGAATGCTAGACCTGGGTTTTGTTTTGCTTTTTTTTTTTGCACTGGAAGATTCTACAGCCTGTCTGAATGCTGATTGGAAAGATCCAACAGACAGAGGGGATGGCCAGAGGGGAGAATGAGCTCTCAGAAGGCTGGAAGGTATAGGCCTAGTTCACCTGTGGCTGGACTGACTTGGGAGAAAGTGGGCTATTTTTTTTGTTTCAGTAATAGAAAAGAAAGAAGAGATAGCTATTGATGAAAATCGGTTTGTGTATTTACTAGTAAGAACTTTCTGCCTGGCAACATCTCTTCTTATTAAGTACTGGGCAAGTCCAGGTATTGGGAGTGGGAAGGAAGGAAGGAAATGTGGTACCTAGGAGATGTAGAAGGTAATTTGAAATGGATTCAGGCATGATAAGCCAGCGTGCTCGCTAGAGAGTAGTAGTAGTCATAGTGATACTTCACGCTGAAGTGCTTACATCATACTGCTGAGCAGTTTATATGAACTAGCTCACCTTGCCCACCAAGGCTCTACTTTGACAGGCACTACAGTGATGAGGAGCACAGACTTTGGGGCTGCAGTGACCAGAGTGCTGGTTAAAGGCCCACTCTACCGTTTACTAGGGTGTGAGCTTGGGCAGGTTACTTAACATTGCAGAGCCCGTTTTCTCATCTCTAAAATAGAAATAGTAGTGGCACCTGCCTCCTGGGGTTTTTGTGACTGTGTTAACATGTTTGTACAGTACTCAGAACAATGCATGGCACATAGTAAAAATTTTAAGTTTTAAATTAAGAATAGAAGAGAAAAACATCGTATAAGTGGATCTAAGGTGTTAGGAGATGTAGTTATGTTGGGGAAAGAAAAAATCTCTCTGGCTATAATGATTCTATGGAAGATCCTTTACAGTCCTTAAAGGTTAAACATTGAACGCTAACCTCCTGAAGAGCCTAATTTTATTCTTTGGAACTATATGTTTGGCAGATTTTTTGCTCAGTCGTTTTGATCATCAGAAAGGCTAAAAGTAGGGACAACTTATGTCCTTGGATTAGGGATTGAGAAACCTAGATTTTGATCCCAGTCACTGGGTGAGCCCACATGCTTATTTCAACCTCCATGCTGTCTCTCCCTCCATAAAGTAATGGGAAGGAAGATGGCTTCAAGGAAGGAGCCAGGGTCTGAGAGCAGTGACTGGAAACCCGGAAGAAACCATTCACACCCCATGTGCTCCATTCATTCATCTCTAAAATGCCTGTCAATCAAAGTCAGGCAAATTGTGAGAAAATGAAACTGTATGTAGAAGTACTTCGAAAATAAAAGTGTTTTATGTTCACAGCATTATTATTAGAAATCATCTTTGCTACTAGCTCATCATAAACGCTTGGCAGATTAATGAGGTGATTTGATAATTGTAATGTTTTGAGTTTCTTTGGAAGACGTGTGTAACACAAATGCCAGGTGTTCCTGTTATGGGAGAACCTGAATAAGTCACAGAGGATCTAACTACATTCTTAGTACATCATGCTGAGTATTGTAGAAAAACAGAAGAACTTTAAAACAAGGTTCTTGTCTTCTAAGAACATAGTCTTAACAGGGTGATAAAATACACACCTAGGATTATTCAGTACGACATGTGATGGAGTGCTAGAAGCAGACAGAAAGTACTAGAAGAAGTTATGGAGGGAGACTATATAGATGGTAACTGCTTTTCTTTTCCTGAGGTAAATGTTTTCTGATGGCTTTGTCCGTGCAAGATTCATTTTCTACTTCTATTTTCCCAGTGATTTCTAATGTTCATTGAGAGGTTACAAAATGGTTTATGATTATATATGTCAAACTTGACAACCACAATCCATTTCTTAGTCTAAACAAAAAAAAAAAAAAAAAAAGCTGGAAGATGATGGGGGATAAAAATAGAACCTTAAATATAATCAAGACCAAAATGTTTTTTAACATGCTCTCTCCTGAGGTCGGCATAGAAACATTCATAATGTTTTCATTCTAGTTCTTTTTCCTGACTTTTTTATTTAAAAAGGAAAAAAATTAATTGGATGTACTCAGAACTTCCATAAATTTCTTTCACTGTCCCAGGTAAAATAGCTGGGACTATTGCAGATTTCTAATTGAATAAATAGACCTTTAACGTGTGACAATGATCACAGTGCTACAACCTCCTGGTTTTAGCCCAGTTTCCGTTCTCTCAAAGTACATGTAAGCTGCAGCACCTGAGCTGTTTCTAACTCCCTTTAGTTCTGTAGTCACTAGTCCTGCACCTAATAATCTCCTGCTTCATTGCTATACTTTGTCAGTAAGATACTAGAAGCTGGAAGGGGGTTGATAAGGGGATAGTGGTTACAAGAAAACCATAATGGAATTGCCCTGGGAGGGAGCAGAGACTTAAAGTATGTCTTGGTTTTACCTGAATTCGTCTAGGCTTCTCTAAATAAAGGACTTTCTCATTTGTTCTCTAGCTAGGTTTGGGAATATTTTCTTGACCTTTATGCTTCAAATTAGCCTTGCAAATTGGCTCAAAAAATAACTTAGCCTTCAAAGATGTTCTTTTACTTTCAGAATTATGGATCATTCCCATGCTTACCCATGCCTGCAGTCCCTGTCATTAAGCAGTGAGAACACGAGACACATACTCGGCATAATTTAATAGAAAGATCATGGAAATCAGGGGGCAGAACTGATTGTATTTGGTGTTGGCTCAATATTTGATTTCAGAAGTATCTCCTTTTAAGTCCCCCCACTCCCAAGGCCCTGAGAGTATAAACGTAGATTAATTTGCATCATGGTTTGAAATTGAGGGTTGTTTCATTTCAGTGCTGTTGTTTGCCGTCAGAACTGAAACACCAGAGAGTCACTATGGATCTGCGGTATCAAGGGGTTTCAAAGCATTGTTTTGAAAAAAGAAAGACACAAGTTTTTGAGGGTTTTATATTCAAAACTGCAGAAATGTAAGGGAGAATACATAGCTAAAGAGAAAACTGCCTTTCTCACCCTGCTCACCCTTGCCTGGTCCATGCTACTTGGGTGGGAGGCTTGCATGCTTGACAGGAAGTCCTAGTCACCCTCCAGCTGGTGTGGCCCCTGAGCATTTGTCCGCAATGGGAGCATCACCCTTTCCTTTCACCCTGATGGAAGTGGAGGCATGGTCTAGCTGCTTCGCTGAGTTGGCTAGTGCTTTCACCTTGATCCGATTGTAAGGGTGTTTTATGTCTCTGTTTTTGCTCCCAACTTTTTTTGGGTGGCCTTTTCCTGTAGTGTGCCCTGGAGATGCGAGATTTTCCTTTGGCAGCAGGAGGTACGCACCCAGAGAATGCTGGAGCTGCGAGGGGAAAGGACCCACTTCCACAGCAGAGAAAAACAAAGAGGAAAAAGGCATATAGGCAGCCAGCGCTAAGGAACGCACCCAGCAAGCAGTGGGCCAGTGCCACTGCCCCCAGCAGCTGTTTCTGCTGCAACCCGAGAGGAACTCGGTGAGCCTGTCCCGTTTGTGACTGCAAGCTCAGGATTTCAATCAATGCATTCCAGTAACCCTAAAGTGAGGAACTCTCCATCAGGAAACACACAGAGGTAAGGGCTAGGGCCTCTTCCTGCAGCCCCTTGGGGATGCCATAGTCACACCGTGAACACTCATTGGTGAAACAGTATGTTGAATTAGAAGTAAATGAAACCCAAATGGGAAAGGAAGAGAAAATAGACTAGTAAATAGTAATATAAGAGTAAGCAGGATACAGTGTAATCAAAGATTATGTTAGAGTTTTCCTTTGTTATTCTTCTGTTCATCATTCCCTGACCTCTCCACCCACCTCCCTGCCAAAGCACAAACAAAAGGACCATAGAGACCAACCAGTACCATCTGCCCAAGTTGGCAAACAGGGAAACTGAGGCCTGGAATGGTGAGGAGGCCTGACGCCTTAGAACTAAAACATTATTCCCCAGACTCCCACTGTGACGCTTTTTCCTCTGTTTCCCAGTACTTAAACTGTTACTCTAAAAGAATTTTGTCCTCACTCCCTGAGGGCAGCGGTTGGTTTATCTGCTTTGGTGGAGTACTGCTTGTTGGGAGGGATTAGTATCCTGGAGGATTTCCCTAACCTGACAGTCACCAGCTCCCGTGCTCTTTGGGACCTGCTTGCATTTTCCATCAGGGAAGTGAGGCTCTCCTACAGCTGTTCTTGTCGTCAGCCTGGGGCTGGGCAGTATTTTGATCTTAACGATGCCTGTTTGTTTACTCTGAGCTAGTCTTAGTGTAAGAGTCACTTCTCTATGTACATAGAAACCGTTGTCCTTTATTGACAGAAGCCCTGGAGATGGGTCCCCATGTGACTCTAGGGTTCCTGAAACCTGGCTGGCCACTCTGCTTGATCCTCCTCTCTACTGATAGCTCTGAGATGGGATCGGGGTGGTGGGAGCAAGCAAATGGCTGAGGTGAATCATGGGGTGGTTATTTTAGTCCTAAGGGTTTCTTTGACCCCCAATAGAAACTGCTTCTCCCTAATTTGTGCTGACCAGTTGTGTCTGGTGTCTGATCTTCCTTTGTTATTTGTTTCTTTTAGTAGCCCTAAGTCAAAGCAGGAGGTGATGGTCCGTCCCCCTACAGTGATGTCCCCATCTGGAAACCCCCAGCTGGATTCCAAATTCTCCAATCAGGGTAAACAGGGGGGCTCAGCCAGCCAATCCCAGCCATCCCCCTGTGACTCCAAGAGTGGGGGCCATACCCCTAAAGCACTCCCTGGCCCAGGTGGGAGCATGGGGCTGAAGAATGGGGCTGGAAATGGTGCCAAGGGCAAGGGGAAAAGGGAGCGAAGTATTTCCGCCGACTCCTTTGATCAGAGAGATCCTGGGACTCCAAACGATGACTCTGACATTAAAGGTATGTCTATAAGATCTTTGAGACTCAGAGGGAAGTAGGTGTTCCTGAGGGAAAGCCTCTGACATTCGACAGAGGCCAGAGAGCCTAGTATCAGACAAGTGGGGAGAGTAGGTATCAGATGCAGGAGTTCTCACAGTTTATGATGGAACTATTTCTTCTCAATTTGTTACTAGCTGAAGAATTGTTTGGAACCTCCTAGTTGAGGAGTTCTTGCCCTTAAGGATGCAATGATTTAGGGGTTATGGTAGGATGTTTCACAGGCCTAACCCTGTTTGTACACATGTTTCTGGCCTCTGTGCTGTTTGTACTTTAGTTTCAAGCCAGTCACTCTAGTTTGTCTGTGCCAGCGGCCCCCACTGGGGCAGTGTTTCTGGTATCCCTTCTCTTCTCCATCAGAGCAATCCTCCAAGTCTTGGGGCTTGTATTCTCTAGTTGCCATTTTGCCAGACTTGCAGACACAAGAGGAGGCCTTCATGGCCCTGGCAATAGTCCAGATTTGTTACAGCTGATTTTAGTGTAGCAGGAATGAGTGGCTACCAGATGTGTAGAGATTTGGCGAGTACCAAAATGGGGTGAGCCAAGAAGGGTATGGGACCAACAGCTGTGGTTTTAGGCTTTTTGCCTCCTAGTATAAGACCAAAAGTCTTAACTGTAGGCCAGAACATGAAGTTAGTATTCAAGGAAGGGAAGTATGATTTTCCAACCCAAATTAGAAATGAAAACCTGGGTGATTGTTTCTCCTCCCTTCCTCTGCTCCTCCCTCAAGTGTTTTGGCAGGCCTGCTCTAAGTGCTAGCACTATGCTGGGGGGCCATGGTCAGCAAGATAGATACAGCTGTTGTCCTCAAAGATTTGAATGCACCTAGAAACCTGATTATTAGACAGTTACAGTAAAGAAACCTGATTATTAGACAGTTACAGTAAAAGATGATAAATGCTGAAATAAGAGAAGTTAGAGGGCTGCGGGATCCATCCCCAGTTAAGTCTAGGAGGTTTCAAAAAGGTTACCAGGAAGAAGGGACATTTACGCTAATATATGAAGGAGGTATAATAGAGAGGTAAGGAAGTGGGGGAAGACTGCTCTATGATTAGTCATTTGAGAGAGAAGAGTATTTGAAATTTTATGAGTAGAAGAGGTTTCCTCTTAGCAAGGTGGTACTTCCTTGAAATTCTCAAGGTTGGTTTGTGTTGTGATGCTATAAATGCTAGCAGAAGAAAGGAAATTGTATTCTTTCTATGACGAGTCATTTTATTCTTTTAGAATGTAATTCTGCTGACCACATAAAGTCCCAGGATTCCCAGCACACACCACACTCGATGACCCCATCAAATGCTACAGCCCCCAGGTCTTCCACCCCCTCCCATGGCCAAACTACTGCCCCAGAGCCCACACCTGCTCAGAAGACTCCAGCCAAAGTGGTGTATGTGTTTTCTACTGAGATGGCCAATAAGTAAGTTGACGGCTGTGTCTTGCTGTTGGGCAGGGCTTGTCTGGGGACCTAAGTTCTTATTCCCATTGCAGATTGATCTTTTATTATCACCTAAAGTTAACAGTACAGAAAGAGATAAAACATAAAACCTCCCCAACCCAAACTCCCCCAGAGGCAACCACTGATAATATATCCTTTGCTTCCCTTTCAGAAATTTTTCATGCCTGTACAGATATACTTATATACCTCTTTTTGTTTTTTTGAGATGGTGTCTGTCTCTGTTGCCTAGGCTGGAGTGCAGTGGCGATCTCAGCTCACTGCAACCTCCACTTCCTGGGATCAAGCAATTCTTCTGCCTCAGCCTCCTGATTAGCTGGGATTACAGGAACCCATCACCACGCCCAGCTAATTTTGTGTATTTTTTAGTAGAGATGGGGTTTCACCATGTTGGCCAGGCTGGTTTTGAACTCCTAGCCTCAGGTGATCTGCCTGCCTCAGCCTCGCAAAATGCTGGGATTACAGGCATGAGCCACCGCACCTGGCCATATATACCTCCTTTTAGAGAAGAAATTGATTGCACAATACACACTTTTCTGCAACCTACCTGTTGTTATTTTCTAAACAACACAAGTAATAAATGTCCATTCTAGAAAAATTAGAAAGTATAACTAAAAATTAGTATCTCTGGAATTTGCAGAGATAACTACTGTAAACATTTTTATATATAAATTTCTAGTGGATGGATGAGTCAATTTTTATTTATCAGAACTGTGATTGTACCCTACATATGGTTTTCTGACTTGTTTTTCACTTAAGATAAAAAGTGAATCTTAACAGCCTTAAACTGTCACTAGGTATTGTACGATCTTATCTTCCACCTTCTTGGGTTGGGATTTTAAACTCAGATTCTCCATAAAACGCCTACCACAGTGGATTGGTTTCCGGAGAAAATCTTGGTTTTTGTTTTTTAATGCCTCTTTTGGGATTTGCAGATGGCTATCTTTTAATTTTAGAATTTTGATGGTAAGTGGTAAACATAAATAATGAAGCATGTTTGTCTTGATTTCTTCTTCAACATTTGTGGTGGTTCTTTATATTCCTTCTTCTCCCTTACAAGTTTATTGTGGGGTTAAAGTGCTTTGGAATTACAGTTAGTGAAATAGAAACAAGTTCTAGTGTGTGCTGTCTCTTCCGTCTTTGCAGAGCTGCAGAAGCTGTTTTGAAGGGCCAGGTTGAAACTATCGTCTCTTTCCACATCCAGAACGTTTCTAACAGCAAGACAGAGAGAAGCACAGCTCCTCTGGTATGTTGTTTCAGAAACCGAGTAATGGTTTAATGATTCTACAGTGACTGCAAAGGAAAGGAGGTGGTGAATTTAATTGATAGGAAGGTAGTCTTGATGGTATGAGCTGTGTTCTTGGCATTTAACCTAATTCTGACATTGTGGGGCATTAGGCATATCATACTATACTAGCGTTTTCTATGAGAAAGATAGTAGATTGATGAATTGCTAGGGGGAAGAAGATGCAAACTAAAAGAGGACCTACAAAGATATCTTTGGGTTTCCTTCATGTAATCGTCTCTGGGAAAATCTAAATTCAGACTGTGTGTACAGAGCAGGTTTTTTAAAAATAACGCTCTTGAGCTAGTTGAATAACAAAGAACAGAAAAAAAGCAGCAACTACAACTTCTGGAGTACATGATGACAATATCATAATCAGAGCCTCATCAACTTTCAAAGTGATTCATATTTATTTCAAAGTGATAAGACCATTGAAGGCTTTTAATTGCTTGATATTTGTAAAATTGTAATAAATGTTAGTCTGTTTTCTATCTGGATCTTAAGCACCTGCTATAAACTCCATTAGAAAAAGCATACAGTGGATGTAGTTTATCAAATTGAACCAAAAGATATTTCTTGTATCTGGCACCATCAAGCCATTGCACCGAATGCTATGGGAGATACTAAGAGGTTCAAGACACAGTCCCTGCTTTCAGGGAGCATGAAATCTAATACTGGGATGAGTCTTTTTTTTTTTTTTTTTTTTTGAGATGGAGTCTTGCTGTGTCACCCAGGACGGAATGCAGTGGCACCATCTTGGCTCACTGCAAGCTCTGCCTCCCAGGTTCACGCCATTTTCCTGCCTCAGCCTCCCAAGTAGCTGGGACTACAGGTGCCCGCCACCACGCCTGGCTAATTTTTTGTATTTTTTAGTAGAGATGGGGTTTCAACGTGTTAGCCAGGGTGGTCTTGATCTCCTGACGTTGGGATCTGCCTGCCTCGGCCTCCAAAAGTGCTGGGATTACAGGCGTGAGCCACCACGCCCGGCCCTTGGGATGAGTCTTAAACATGGGAAAAGTTAATTGACAATAAATGATCAAAGTGACAATTCAAGATAAAATAGGTGGCATCTTTCCTATTTTGTGTATCAGGAAAGTCTCCATCTTTGTAGACATAAGCAGAGCTTAGGCCTTCCTAAACTTAGAAAAGGAATTTCACATTCCCCATGCATCTTGACTACTCAAGGGTAGAAGATGCATACCATTATATTTAAAATGCGTATTGTCCTGGAATGAATACGGTACAGTGCAGCTGAAACCAACCTGTTTACTGACTTAATGGTAGTTCTTAATATTAATACTACACCTACACCTTCTCTGGTACTAAAATCAGGAAAGGAGTTAAGGAAGGAATTGGGAATAATCCATTGTTCCCCATCTAAATGTTTTCTGCTGTCATGGTTTCCTTATATGAAATCAGTACCCACCCACAACAAACAAAACCTGACTAACAAAACCAAACTTAAAATGGCACTAGAAGGAAAATCAGGGTGACCTCTACACTCCAGTTAGGAGTTGTGGACATGAAATATACTTTTGACTGTACAGAATCATATAAGATTCAGCCGATCTTACTCACACAACTCGATACCTACAGACAAGTGCATGGATACCTCCAAATCCAACATTTATGTATGTATTCACAGAATATAAGTACTCAAAGATATGTTTTCGTGTATATATAACACAAATTGTTCATATGCAGAGGTACACATAATTATTTGTTTACATATTTGCACACAGGTAAACATTCCAGAGAGTAGGTGAGGAGGTAAGAGCCTGAAGGGTTTGGAAATATGGACTGGATTAAGTGAACAAGTAGGAGCAAATGAACATGAAAAAAGGGTCTGGAGAAAGGCCTTTGGTGAAAGGTCTCTGAGACAGAGTTTGTAGATCAAGCCCTTCTATTTGTCAGTGCCCTCTTACATTTCAGCAGTGCTATTGGTTTAGACCCAGAACATATACATCCCTCTTCCAAACATTCAAGGTGTCCATGTCAGCTATTGTAGGTGAGTGTGCTTCTACCCTGGACTTATATAGCATTGGTACTTAATAAATAATAATAAGGCAATCATCCAGCATGTTATAAAAGGGCAGTCTACTGTCTACTAGAAAGAACAGTTCAAGAGACACCATAAGCTAGATAGCCTCAGATTTGTCCACAGAAGTTTCCTGTCTGCAGATTATCTCACTACAGTTAATGTACAAATTCTTATCAAATATGGAATCAGTGATCACAAACCAAAAACAGAAACCGGAGATGTCAGACACCCTGGAAACTCCAGGAGGGGAGCGCCTCAGTAGTCACCCTGCCAGAGGAGACGTTGAAATGGAGCAGTCTTACCCGCTTCCTCGGCTGGTAGAGTACAGAGCTGCAAGTGACTTACGCTTTCTCTTTCAGATGGCAACATCAGGCCTTTTGATTGACAATGAGAAGTCTACATACCCAGTTATACTTTCAGGGAAAAGAAAAAGGTGTTAGGTACAGCCTCCCACATACCAAGAAACTAATCTCTCTCTGAATCAGAAACACATAGTAGACATGTGATATCAAACCTGTTCCTCAAAATAGATACTGAAATGTATTCACTTTGGCAGAGTGGCTCTCCCCTGGCATACTTTTAAAGTTATTGAAATCTAATCTTCAGCACGGGAAAGAGGATGCCATTTGACAGTAAGTTTAAAAAAAAAAAAAAAAATCCTTGCCCAGAAGAGGGTTGTACATGAGCACTTTCTACAGCCAGTGTCAGTTAGATTTATGTGACTGGGTACAATTCCTTTATAACATATCTTGCTCTTTTAATTGCCCTTCTGTTCAGTTTACCAGTGATTTTTAAAATATTTGTTTGTCTTCAGAACACACAGATATCTGCCCTTCGGAATGATCCGAAACCTCTCCCACAACAGCCCCCAGCTCCAGCCAACCAGGACCAGAATTCTTCCCAGAATACCAGACTGCAGCCAACTCCACCCATTCCGGCACCAGCACCCAAGCCTGCCGCACCCCCACGTCCCCTGGACCGGGAGAGTCCTGGGGTAGAAAACAAACTGATTCCTTCTGTAGGAAGTCCTGCCAGCTCCACTCCACTGCCCCCAGATGGTACTGGGCCTAACTCAACGCCCAACAATCGGGCAGTGACCCCCGTCTCCCAGGGGAGCAATAGCTCTTCAGCAGATCCCAAAGCCCCTCCGCCTCCACCAGTGTCCAGTGGTGAACCCCCCACACTGGGAGAGAATCCCGATGGCCTATCTCAGGAGCAGCTGGAGCACCGGGAGCGCTCCTTACAAACTCTCAGAGATATCCAGCGCATGCTTTTTCCTGATGAGAAAGAATTCACAGGAGCACAAAGTGGGGGACCCCAGCAGAATCCTGGGGTATTAGATGGGCCTCAGAAAAAACCAGAAGGGCCAATACAGGCCATGATGGCCCAATCCCAAAGCCTAGGTAAGGGACCTGGGCCCCGGACAGACGTGGGAGCTCCATTTGGCCCTCAAGGACATAGAGATGTGCCCTTTTCTCCAGATGAAATGGTTCCACCTTCTATGAACTCGCAGTCTGGGACCATAGGACCCGACCACCTCGACCATATGACTCCCGAGCAGATAGCGTGGCTGAAACTGCAGCAGGAGTTTTATGAAGAGAAGAGGAGGAAGCAGGAACAAGTGGTTGTCCAGCAATGTTCCCTCCAGGATATGATGGTCCATCAGCACGGGCCTCGGGGAGTGGTCCGAGGGCCCCCCCCTCCATACCAGATGACCCCTAGTGAAGGCTGGGCACCTGGGGGTGCAGAGCCATTTTCTGATGGTATCAACATGCCACATTCTCTGCCCCCGAGGGGCATGGCTCCCCACCCTAACATGCCAGGGAGCCAGATGCGCCTCCCTGGATTTGCAGGCATGATAAACTCTGAAATGGAAGGGCCAAATGTCCCCAACCCTGCATCTAGACCAGGTCTTTCTGGAGTCAGTTGGCCAGATGATGTGCCAAAAATCCCAGATGGTCGAAATTTTCCTCCTGGCCAGGGCGTCTTCAGCGGTCCCGGCCGAGGGGAACGCTTCCCAAACCCCCAAGGATTGTCTGAAGAGATGTTTCAGCAGCAGCTGGCAGAGAAACAGCTGGGTCTCCCCCCAGGGATGGCCATGGAAGGCATCAGGCCCAGCATGGAGATGAACAGGATGATTCCAGGCTCCCAGCGCCACATGGAGCCTGGGAATAACCCCATTTTCCCTCGAATACCAGTTGAGGGCCCTCTGAGTCCTTCTAGGGGTGACTTTCCAAAAGGAATGCCCCCACAGATGGGCCCTGGTCGGGAACTTGAGTTTGGGATGGTTCCTAGTGGGATGAAGGGAGATGTCAATCTAAATGTCAACATGGGATCCAACTCTCAGATGATACCTCAGAAGATGAGAGAGGCTGGGGCGGGCCCTGAGGAGATGCTGAAATTACGCCCAGGTGGCTCAGACATGCTGCCTGCTCAGCAGAAGATGGTGCCACTGCCATTTGGGGAGCACCCCCAGCAGGAGTATGGCATGGGTCCCAGACCATTCCTTCCCATGTCTCAGGGTCCAGGCAGCAACAGTGGCTTGCGGAATCTCAGAGAACCAATTGGGCCCGACCAAAGGACTAACAGCCGGCTCAGTCATATGCCACCACTACCTCTCAACCCTTCCAGTAACCCCACCAGCCTCAACACAGCTCCTCCAGTTCAACGCAGCCTGGGGCGGAAGCCCCTGGATATATCTGTGGCAGGCAGCCAGGTGCATTCCCCAGGCATTAACCCTCTGAAGTCTCCCACGATGCACCAAGTCCAGTCACCAATGCTGGGCTCGCCCTCGGGGAACCTCAAGTCGCCCCAGACTCCATCGCAGCTGGCAGGCATGCTGGCGGGCCCAGCTGCTGCTGCTTCCATTAAGTCCCCCCCTGTTTTGGGGTCTGCTGCTGCTTCACCTGTCCACCTCAAGTCTCCATCACTTCCTGCCCCATCACCTGGATGGACCTCTTCTCCAAAACCTCCCCTTCAGAGTCCTGGGATCCCTCCAAACCATAAAGCACCGCTCACCATGGCCTCCCCAGCCATGCTGGGAAATGTAGAGTCAGGTCAGTATGCTTGCATCCTCACAGTTGCACCTTGTAGCTGGAGACTGCTAGAGCCTGATAACAGTTACTTTAAGAAAACTGGTGTCTTGAGTACACCTCTGGCAGTCTTTGTTGAAATGGCCGTATTTGTGGCAAGGTGCATAATCAGTGTTTCCATGGGGTTATGCAGAAGTGCCCAATCTCAGCAAAAAATACGTGTATCAGAGGGACTGTTAAAAGGAAGAGGGGAAATGGGGATTATGTGTTGGGTTCACAGAATAATTTACATTCGCACAATGAACAGATGCAATAAAATGTCTTAACAGTGGATGAATGTGGCTTCATTAAATACTGGACCCACTGCAAGCGGCTGCCCTTGAATCGAGATTCTGGGTATAATCCTAAACAGACAGGGGAAGCTGCTGTAAGACTTGTGTGGTTCTTGTAAATACCTGTTGACCACAGAAACAGTTACCAAAACCTTCTCCTTAGTAGACCACAGTTTTCACACATCAGCTACAATTTAGGAGGATTTTCTTCCTGGGAGAGATTCTTGCTGATGATGATGGTTTTGTGAGTGGGACTTGAGGTGGTCAGTGGAAGTAGCGCCAAGGTGTAAATACTAGGTTGGCGCTGTCTCCACCTGAGAAAGACTAGAATCAGAGCAAGACAGAAGATTTATCCTACCAAGCTAAAGTGTCTCTCCGTGGAGTAGCAGTTCACTGAAGCAGTACAGTGGAACAGCCCCCTCGGACCTTTTTGGTTCAAACATCTTGGTTGTGGAAATTAATCAAGAATGCGTGTAGGGTGATGTCGTTAGTACCTGGGGCTATATCACTAGTCTGGCTTCATGGCATACTAATACCTGAGTCGAATTCTAAACTGTGATTGGCAAGGGAAAGAGATCCACTTATTTCACATTCTATTCAGTGAAATGGTTGTCTGTAAACCATATTTTCCCTAAGCTTGAACTAATATTTCTAACACATTCTGGTGTGTTTGTCTTCACATCTGCTGATCCGTCATGTCACCTCCCTATCACGCCGTGGTCTCCCTCTGCACTCACACAGAGCTTGACTAGAAGATTGATGATTTGTGTCTGAGGTCTAATAACACTGTCCTGTTCATCTGTTTCACTCCTGGCCTTGCTAGTTCATAATCATAGGGCCCAATACCCTTCAAAAGGAATCTAATTCCCTGCCCGTTTTGTTTTATTTTGCTTCCTTTTAGGTGGCCCCCCACCTCCTACAGCCAGCCAGCCTGCCTCTGTGAATATCCCTGGAAGTCTTCCCTCTAGTACACCTTATACCATGCCTCCAGAGCCAACCCTTTCCCAGAACCCACTCTCTATTATGATGTCTCGAATGTCCAAGTTTGCAATGCCCAGTTCCACCCCGTTATACCATGATGCCATCAAGACTGTGGCCAGCTCAGATGACGACTCCCCTCCAGCTCGTTCTCCCAACTTGCCATCAATGAATAATATGCCAGGTAAGAAATCAGAAAGGCAGGTTGTGGAGTGAGTGCTAGACCAAAGGGAAACCTCTTCAAGCGTTTTCTCAATGGCTGTACACCTGAATAGGTGGAAGTTCAACAAGTAGAAAAAAATCTTCCATCTAAGGTAGTTTCAGTAGAATGAAAGTGTCTTGACTAGAGGAAGATAATTTCTTATTAGCTTGATTCCTTATTTGTAAGAAAGCAGGTTTCTTTATAGTTCTGATGCTTCTGTGTACCTGGATGGTTTTGAGGGTTGGTTTTTGTTTTTTTCTCTTTGGGTCCTCATGTAGCAATAGAGAGAGCAGTTTCTAACAGGCTGATTGGAAAGTCTTTAGTTCTCAAGTACTTTTTTCCGGAAGAGCAGCCTCAAACCACAAGCAGCCACAGGATTTCAGACAGTGGAAAGCTCCTATTTCCTAGAGAAGCGTTTTTTTTTTTTTTTCTTTTTTTTAGGACTAGGGAGATAATAAAATCCTTCCCTTCCCTACACATTCGGTACACCTTCATTCCTTATACCCACCCCTCACCTCGACCCCTGCCACCTGACTAACAGAAAATGATCAGGATGGTGAAAGCGATCAGCAAAGAGACCATGAGTTTTCAGCCACGAGTTTCTGGTTCCAGTTCTATTCTGATTGTTATGAATGCTATGGATTTATCAGTAACTCTAATTAACCAGGTTAGTACATGTACCAGGAGGAGCATAAGCCTCATACCACACTCGGTGGTAATTCCACAGAGAGACCAAATACTTCAGTGTCCCAGGGACTGTATTAGAATATGTTACTTTCCTTTTCTATTAAAAGTTATTTCTTGAACATGTCATGTAATCTCGAGTTTTAAATGCTTTCTCTATAAGGCACTATAAAATAATGCCAAATGCCAATTGGAAAATGACCTGTTGATAGTTTGTTATGATTCCTGATCATTGGGATTGTAGTACTGATTTCGCCAAAAGGACCATACTTGAGTCATTCAGGCAAATTGTTTTCTTCTGTGTTAAATGTCTCCAATGAGGAAGACGAAACTCATTTATGTGCTAATTTATAACTTTTCACACATGAGAATTTCTCCCTTGCTATCTTCTACACACTCTTAAATCATACAGTTTAAGACTCAATAATATATTGTCCTGTAGAGCTCTTGGTTTGTATGTCCCCAGATGTATTATGATCTTATTGATGGCGGGGATTGTGTGTTGTATGTTTTCCCAGCATTGTACTATGCGCATTGGATGCACAATAATTTTTTTGTTAATTTATTATAGTTTTTCTGAGTTGATTTTTGGTTAAGTTGATTCCTTTGATATCTTTATTTTTCTAGGAATGGGCATTAATACACAGAATCCTCGAATTTCAGGTCCAAACCCCGTGGTTCCGATGCCAACCCTCAGCCCAATGGGAATGACCCAGCCACTTTCTCACTCCAATCAGATGCCCTCTCCAAATGCCATGGGACCCAACATACCTCCTCATGGGGTCCCAATGGGGCCTGGCTTGATGTCACACAATCCTATCATGGGGCATGGGTCCCAGGAGCCACCGATGGTACCTCAAGGACGGATGGGCTTCCCCCAGGGCTTCCCTCCAGTACAGTCTCCCCCACAGCAGGTTCCATTCCCTCACAATGGCCCCAGTGGGGGGCAGGGCAGCTTCCCAGGAGGGATGGGTTTCCCAGGAGAAGGCCCCCTTGGCCGTCCCGGCAACCTGCCCCAAAGTTCAGCAGATGCAGCACTTTGCAAGCCTGGAGGCCCTGGGGGTCCTGACTCCTTCACTGTCCTGGGGAACAGCATGCCTTCAGTGTTTACAGACCCAGATCTGCAGGAGGTCATCCGACCTGGAGCTACCGGAATTCCTGAGTTTGATCTGTCCCGCATTATTCCATCTGAGAAGCCCAGCCAGACGCTGCAATATTTCCCTCGAGGGGAAGTTCCAGGCCGTAAACAGCCCCAGGGTCCTGGACCTGGGTTTTCACACATGCAGGGGATGATGGGCGAACAAGCCCCCAGAATGGGACTAGCATTACCTGGCATGGGAGGTCCAGGGCCAGTGGGAACTCCGGACATCCCTCTTGGTACAGCTCCATCCATGCCAGGCCACAACCCCATGAGACCACCAGCCTTTCTCCAACAAGGCATGATGGGACCTCACCATCGGATGATGTCACCAGCACAATCTACAATGCCCGGCCAGCCCACCCTGATGAGCAATCCAGCCGCTGCCGTGGGCATGATTCCTGGCAAGGATCGGGGGCCTGCCGGGCTCTACACCCACCCTGGGCCTGTGGGCTCTCCAGGCATGATGATGTCCATGCAGGGCATGATGGGACCCCAACAGAACATCATGATCCCTCCGCAGATGAGGCCCCGGGGCATGGCTGCTGACGTGGGCATGGGTGGATTTAGCCAAGGACCTGGCAACCCAGGAAACATGATGTTTTAAGCTGCTAAGATTGGATGTGCCGATCCTTGTCAAGATGAGATTCCAGGTCCTGAGAGCTGCTTTGAGGGAGTTCCAGGAGTACTTACTATTGGTCATGCAATAGGAGAACAGAGACCCGAGGGCTGCTTTGGGGGAGGGGGGAACTTGAGAATGTATGGATTTACCTGAAAACAAATTATTCATTTAATCAACAGGTGTGTTTTTTTTAAGATTTATTTTTTAAAAATTATTTTTGTGGACTTGGGTATCCATGATGGCACCTACTTTTGGGAATCTGTAGCTGTGCTTTGAGAATTGCCATCGGTCATGTGTTGCACCGTTCTCTGTATGTTTACGTCCTTTGGACTGGCTTCTCCCAGGATTCTTTTCTGTTTTTGTTTTTTGGATTTGGGCTTTATTTTTTTTGTGTGTACTGTACTATATTGTAAAAGGGATTTTAGCAGAGACTTTAGTCTTTGGGGCAAGAGGAGAACAGGAATGCTGGGCTGTTTACTTTAGGTGGAGAATCCATCTTCAGACCTTTGGACTATTTTCTTTCAACTCCAGTGTATAGAAAAACCAAACAGCGACCTCAGAGCAGAGTATTAATGAAAAGCACAAAAAAAGGAACTAAGTTCAGCGAGGGGTGGGGGGAGGGGGGAGATTTTTCTTTTGAAAAAATAATGACTCTTAGGACATTTGTTTTTCAGTTCAAGTGCTCTTCAGCACTGTCTGTCTCCCAGTATACCAACTCACTGGCACATTTTTCTCGTTTTCTCTCTCCCATTTTGCTCTGTCTCCTCAGTTAAGTGTTTCCTTCCCTTGTGCCCCCCGCTGGTGACCCTCTGCTTCCCTCTCTCTTTCCCTTTGGCAGCTGCAATACACAGTGTTATTTTGGGGAAATAAATCTAGCAAAGCCTCGCCTTCCGTGCCGAGCGTCCTCCTGGCTCTGGGAGGGAGAGGTCTGTCCTTGGGATGCTCTCTGGTCTTTTCTTCCCCTAAGTCTTTCTCTACCCATCATACCCTTCCCTGCCCACCTTGTTTTCTGTTCTCCTTTTATTAGGAATTCCCAAGTGAATTTTATTAATGTGGGAGTGGAACAGATGCTAAAAGCTATCCAGGATTTTGTTTCTGTTTGTTTTCAATTTTGTGGTTCCTTCCCTTTCCTCCCCCTCCCATGCGTAAGACGTTCTGTGTAACCTCCATTAAATTTGGTACAAAACCACTCGCCAGAGCTGTGGTGTCAGAAAAATAAAATATATTGTTTCTTACAAAATTGAACTGCCTTTTTTGTTCATTTGGATTCCTGATTGTTTAGTACTAGGCATACCGGTTGCCACGTGACCCAGAGGCGTAAACTCTTTGTATTGGAGTTGATCAATAAGGTGATGGTTAGGGAAAGTAAATAAAAGTACCTTCTCAAAGCATATTCCATGCTGTTAAGGAATAACTACTCATATAGGTTTATTCTGTACTGTTCCTATCTCAAGTCATGAAATCCTAGTTATAAGCAGAAGAGTAACCCTGGTCCCATTGCTGAACTTTACCTCCAGGGCAATTAATGGTCTTCATTAGGAATGTTTGTGAGAGCCAGTTTAGTGGTATGAAGTAATTAAGAAGGCCAAAGGTTTTATGTTTAGTTATTTGAATAAACTATGAGGTGTCCCTGGGTCTTGTTAAGGTAGAATATTATTACCATACCTGCAAATTATGGGTTTCCACAGTCCGTGGGTTTCCGTGGTCCTTTCTGGCTCCCCACCTCCCCCCATCTCCATCACCTCTGCTAACCCTGCTCAGTCTGTGTGCACAGTTCAGTTCCCACCACACACATCTTCAGCAGATCAGTGTGTATCCTGCAAGTTATGTGTCTAATGGACTCGCTGTTGTGCTTCCGTGCAGTTAATTCTGTTCTGGTGTGTGTATTTCTTTTGAGTTGTTGTAGGTGTTTTTAGCTCGGCGAGTGGGCGTCTGTGTGCGTGTTTGTTCTTAGGTGAGAGAATCTAAGCGAGGAGCGGCAGGTGCAGAGTCATCTGCAGACAAACTTGTACAAATTGGGCTCTGCTGGTGTTTCACAGTCTGAGCTTTTCTCTCTGACAATTGTTTTGGAGAGCCATTTTCTCTTCCTTTTCAGCAGCCCTGTCTTCCCAGTAATGCAAGTGTCCCAGACAACAGAAAATGTGGAGATGAACATTTGAGTGCCTACTCTACCAGTCGTCTCCACGCACTTCATCTTGCTGATTTTTAAGGAGCTCTATGACGTGAGTGGTAATAATCTCGTTTGCAGATGAGAAAACGGAGCTCACAAGTTTAAGAATTCTGATTCAATCTGGTGTATTGTGTTGGTGCTGGGTAGTGAAACTTTCATGTTGTAGAGAAATTAGGATAGTAAAATGAAGATTTTGTTTCACAAACTTAGCCATGTTTCTGGGTTCTCTGGCTTTAAAGTCTATAGATGAGAACAGACTGACAGCCAAGCATGGGCAGCACAAGATGAGAACCTGAAGGAAAGGCCCTACCTGGCATTTGCCCACTGGTCTGGCTTCCTGGGGTGCTCCCCTCCTTGCTGTACCCAAGTGTTGCAGTCACTAATGGTGTGTGGTCCTGTTACTCTCACAGACAGGGAGTCGAGGCATAAAAGGTACCCACAAAGCAGAGCAGGTACCCACTTAGAGGGCTAGCAAGAGACCGGTGGGTCTGGCTGCTGTGGGCAGCTGGATGTGTGGCACTCCTCTCACAGCCCCCTGCTGGAGAACTTGCGGCAGTACAGAGCAACTTCCCCACCTGGTTTTTAAAAATACCTCATCATACATCTTCCTTCACTTTTTAAATCAGCACATGCCATTTCATCACGATCATCTCTGACAAGCCAAATTTAGGGTCTAAATACAACAATTTCTCATTTACTAAGATTGTTACAAAATAAAATTACATTTAGACTGGATGCTACTGCATGGAGAACTGATGCAAGATTTTAAAAAAATCAGTGAAAGAGTGATGAAGATGTTTCATATTAACACATTCCTGTGAAAGCCCAGCTAATCTTCTCTCCTTCCTCTCCTGAATTTTGGGACTGAATGGAGAAAATGCAGTAGTGACTTGTTCACTTCAGGATAAGTGGTGGAGTGTGTGTGACTCATAGCATTTTTTCTTAAGGACTAACTAGAAGTATGTGGCATTTTCCCTGAAACAATGTAAAATAAAATAATTTTCTTTAGAAAAGATTCTACACTTATAAATGAAAACAGACATAATTATAGGAGTCTTATGAAGGAGGCGGCATGAGAAAATAAATTGAAAACAATTTTACGTATTTAAAGCTACTCCTTAAAAAATGGATCCAACATCTCTCGCAGCCTCCCTGCGCTCTATATTTCTTGATATTATCATCACAACGCAACTGTGGTCATCAGGGCCAGCCTCATGGATGTGCCACCTGTGCAGTTGGACAGGACCCAGCTTGGTTTAATGCTCCACCGTCACTGTTTGGAGTTCTTCATTATTGAATAAGGGCTCCACATTTCCATTTTGCCCTGGGTCCCACAGATTGCTTAGCCAGGCTGTTGTAAACAGAAATCACAACAGCTCCACAGAGGTGCTGCGACCCCAGTCTCCATATTTATTCTTGCTACTGAACAGGTGGCCAGGATACTTGCTGTGTTCCGCTTAAACTGTCTACACTTCAGTCATTTCCTTTTCCTTTTCTGAGTAATTTCAAGGTGCTGAAAGGAGAGGGAAGTTGCATTTTAACCCAAGGAATCATTTATTTAGCAAATATTTATAGAGCACTTACTGTGTATCAAGAACTGTGCAAAGGCTGGGATGTGGAAACAGGTGTGTAAACCAGTAATTGCGATACAATGACTGCTACAGTGAAGGTATGGACAGGATGCAATGGGCCAGAAAGGAAAATTCAATGAATGCTCAAAGGAAAGGTGATTTTCTGAACTGACTCTTAAAGGAGAGAGCAGTCCTGGAGGATGGTGGTGAGCATTGAAGCAGAGGAAATGGGAACAGCAAGGGCCTACTGATGGGATGGCCTCTTTAAGGGAGGAAGAAGTAAAGAAGTAAGAAATAAGCCTAGGCCGGGCACGGTGGCTCACGCTTGTAATCCCAGCACTTTGGGAGGCTGAGGCGGGCGGATCACGAGGTCAGGAGATCGAGACCATCCTGGCTAACACGGTGAAACCCCGTCTCTACTAAAAATACAAAAAATTAGCCAGGTGTGGTGGCAGGCGCCTATAGTCCCAGCTACTCAGGAGGCTGAGGTAGGAGAATGGCCAGAACCCAGGAGGCAGCGCTTGCAGTGAGCCGAGATTGCATCACTGCACCGCAGCCTGGGCAACAGAGTGAGACTCTGTCTCAAAAATAATAATAATAATAATAAAATAAGCCTAGAGAGAGAGTGGGTCACGGAGAGCCCAGTGTGGCCCACTAAAGAGTTTGAACGTTGAAGTTTTAAGCAAGGGATCAGGTAATCAGATTGGCTGGGATGTGGAAGATAGGCTGGGCGCCGGGTGAGAGAACCACAGGAAGATCACTTGCAAAAATTTGCTTATTCTACAAAATCCTTAGACTCATCTCTTTTGCTTCAAATAACATTAAATTGTATCATATTTCCCATGCTGTTTAGACAACTTGAGCCTCACTGCCACTTTCTTTTCTCTAACTCAGACCTGTAATTTTTTTCAAAGTCACAAACCCTTACATTTAAGAAAAGTCATGGAGTCCTCATTTGGTGGTAAGATTTTAGTAACACGTTTAAAGCATTAAGTGTATAAAGCACAAAACCAGTGGGTGGCCAAACATTTCCTATTGGAGGGAGCTAAATCATAAAAATAATGTTAAAAGGAAGGTATGCTATGAGGATTGTAATAGAAGTTGTCTCTATCTAACGTGGCTTCTTATCTGGGTTACTGTTAAACAGACACGAATCTATTTTCTGCCTATAGGTGACCCCACGTCAGCTGTTAACTTTCTGTCTCAGTGCTTAATTGTGCTTGGTAATCAATACTGTCAGAGGAAGGCGGTGACTATATGTATGATGATAGAAAGAGAAAATAAAGAGAGGAAACGGAAATTATTTCCTCACACATAAAGCATGGGAAAATTCAGTTATTTCACCAAACACGAAAGAACTCAGATTTCTCTTGCAGATACCCGTTTAGTGTCCCCAAACAATTATGTGGGTACCCTGGGGTTCCAAAGAACAGGATAAAGAAACCCAGCCCTAGGAAACTGCATGTCTTCACTGGGGCCGGCTGGGCGTGTTGCTGTGCGGTTCTGGGTGGTTGGGTTTCTCATACCTCACCAGCTGCACCTAGACCAGCAACCCCTGTCCTGAGGGGCTGACCCGCAGTTCTGTGCTAGCCACGCTCTTTCGTTCTCCAGAGGCTGGAGCCAGGGTCAAGGGCAGAAACAGCTTACAAATCTCAGTTATATCCAAGTGTCCAATTAATTAGTGTTGAGGGTGAATTTAAGTTTTCAATAATTTTTTTCTGTTTGTTTGTTTTCTACAGCCAAAGTTCTCTTTATTAAAGACCCCGGGAGCTCATGTTTGTTTCTTATCTTTACCAAGCTTCCAGGAGCTTTCATTTTCCTCACTTCCCACATAGAAGCTCAACAGCTACCCCGTGAGCTGTTTTCCCTGGAGACTCCTGCCCATCCCCATGAATCAATCTGTGATCTAAGGCCACGCTTTTGACGGTGCTTTATGGGCTCTGGAGTACTGGCTTCTGGCTGCTCGGTTCTCAACATCAGATGAAAACAAGGGCTGGGCCTGGCACCTTGCTAGAAACTGAGTCATTGTTACTGGGTTCAGTCAAAATGTATTTGATTACAGGGGATGGTGGATTACTGTGATTTATTTTATTCTCCAAACTGCAGAAGGTCTCCTGGGCTTTGGTAAAGTTCTCTAGGATAGCTGTGAGTAGTCGAGCTATTGAAAACTTTTATACACACATATACACATACAGATTTACTTATACACGTGTATATGTACCTTTAATATGTGAAAGTGTGTAAATAATTAAATGCCAGTTTTGAAATATCAACATTGCAATGAAGAGTAGTTTGTTTTCTCCTTGTCAGTGAGGCTGGAGAAGCCCTAGAATTTTCTTCAATCCTGTTATGCTCGGTACGTGCAAGGCCTTTAAAATAAAATCATCATTATTTAAAAGTGTGATAATACCAATGAGGAAATACAAGGACCACTTCCATACAAAGCATGAACCAGGCCCAGGAGAGAAATGATCTGACAGGCACCTGAAACTTAACATG